GTTTGTGTTTTGGCATCTGTATTCTTGTACCTTTGTTTGTTTGTTTGTTTGTTTGTTTGTTTGTTTGTTTGTTTGTTTGTTTGTTTGTTTGTTTGTTTGATTCCCTGTTCTTTGATTTTTTTTTTCCTCTGGAAAGTTTTTCGAATTTTCTGCCTGACTTGGCTGTAAAATAATGCCCTCTATTGGTTACAACAAAGGTCAAACAAAACAGTTGGATGTAGTTGTGTAATTTCATCCCAGTGGTTTCCTGCTGGTCTTGACTCATCCCTATAACAATAAAACCTTCCACAGATTAGACTTATAAAACTTAAAAAAAAAAACAGCAATGTCCCTCTTGTTTGTTGTGAAACTTCCTTTTCAGTAAGTCCTCATGCGTCATTACGTACATTTTAATGCTATGAAATGAGGGTGTGATTGAGTTATAAAATGTTCTAGATAAAAGCAGAAATTTTAGCAGCTCACTTTCTCAGAAAGCAATGAGAACCATCATAATGSTCTCCTGGAAGAGTCTTTTTTGTTTCCTGCTGCTGGCATCAATAGGTAAGAACCTTTTATTTACCTTTTTTTAGAAAGTTAGTCTGAATTAAAATTAATGAATGAATTGTGTCATTTGTAAAATAGCTTATAAAGTTCTAATTGTTTTTTTTTCTTTTATTCTTATTTTAAATGTAATTAATTAGAATCAGTAAAATGGTAATATAGTGCTAAAATACACGCAACTTTAACTTTCTGTTATCAGTCTGAAATCTGGTTAATGATGAACACAAAAAGCCAGACTCATCTTTAATCAAAGTTGAATTAATAATATTTCATATTTGCTTTAAGTCTAAACCATTATTACTGACTGGTCCTCTTTCTCAGGTGCACCAGGACTGGGTGCTGCTGTGCAGATCTCCTGGACTGGGAAGGTGACGGCCGGCTTTACTACCACCTTCACGTGCTCTTCTTCCTGTTTTCCAAACTGTACCTACACCTGGTACTTTAAAGGCAGAGAAATAGATGGGAATACATTAACCTGGACACCAGATGGACAGGAGGATACTGTAGAACTGCAGTGTTCTGTCCGCAATCCCGAAASAGGAACCTCCAGCAGCACAGTCTCCATTGTTGAAGTTAGCAGTAAGTTTCATGTGGTGAAAAAATAAAATTCAAGCATCTGCTCAGTGAGGAGACTTGTGTACATTTTGTAAATATTAAACTGAGGGCATTAATACACTGAAAATAACATGACAGAATCATTATGCAACCTCAAAAAAACAGGAATTACTCAAAACACACACAAAAAAAACTAAACCAGTAACTCACAAACTGCCACAATGAACTGAGCTTGATCTTTAGGTTGAGAAGCGCTGAACTAAAACAACAAAAACCAACACAAACACTTCTATATAACCAGAATATTGTGTTTGTACTTGTATTTTATACATTTTAAGGACATTGTTTTGTGATTTTATCTTCCATTTATGTGATATTTATGTGATAATGACTTTCCTAAAATTTATACAATTAATTAGTAGGGGTGCAACGATACAGAAAATTCACGATTCGGTTCGGTTCAATACTTTTGTCTCACGGTTCAATTTTTTTTTTTCGATACAAAAAAGAGAAACCTCCAAGCCCATTTTAAGTTGTAATTTATTTAAATCAAGTATGAACATTTGTTTAACTTCAAAAGTACATGTTTTCAATTAAATGTTGCTGAAACTGCAAGTTTCTCAGTGGATCTGCGCTCAAAAATGCAGCCTAGGTGGAGTAGTCGAACACAGATCCACTGATCCTTCAACACAGAGCATCTTCAGAAGACAAGTTGGTAAAATAAATTTTAAAAATCTGTATTGTTCVATACAAGTGTGTATTGAACCTAAAGCACTGTAYTGAACGGTTCGATACGGGTACATGTATTGTTGCACCCCTATTAATTAGATACATTTTATATTTCTAAATAAAACCTTTTCCTTTTGAATCCTCTGTTCCAGCTCAGATGTCTGTACGAACCAATCCACCGAACACTGTCCCAGCTCTTAACCAGTCGCTCAACCTAGTTTGCCATGACTTGAACTCCAGTGACCCTAAAGGCCCGTCGGACCTGGTTTGGTACAAAGACGGACAGGACGTGACTCTGCGTGAAAACATGCAGCTTCTACAAAACAACGTCACTCTTCACTTTGACTCACTGTTAGCCTCTGATGCTGGTTTCTATCACTGTGAAGCCTACCTGCCTACTTTACAAATAAGAGTTCGCAGTTTGGGATTTCAGCTTAGCCGTAAGTATATTAATAGAAATGCACATTAACAAAAACAAACCTATTTTTTATTTCAACGCTGAAAATGTTTTGTGCAGTTGATCCGTGGAACGTCAGCATCAGTGGACCCGATGTCGTCTTTGTTGGCAGCTTGAGTGAGTTCACCTGCCTGACCAGCTGCACCTTAAATGTTGAATGTACCGTCAGGTGGCAGTTCAGAAATGGGTTCCCTGTTGGAACCTACCTTTCAATCAGTGCAAATAAGRTCAAGTGGACCCCTTCAATTCCTGGGACTTTCCAGAACTTCACATGTGTTGCAGAAAATAAAGCTGCTGGACGCTCTGCCGAGGACACGAAGACGGTTGAAGTTAAAGGTACTGAGAAGTTTTTATTGCTCTTGTCTGCCAACATTCAGTAACATAAAGTATTTAAATTATTAACTTGGTTTGTCTTGTTTGTGTCTTCCCCTCTGAGCAGATGTTCCTATCTCTGGATCAGAACCGGTGCAGCTCAGTGGACTGTCAGTGTTTCTCTTCATGGTTCAGCTGTCAGCCTTTTTATCCTTTAAGTTGTAATCATTGTGTTTTTCCTTWAATTTATTTCTGCTTAAATCATTTTTTTCTGTGTTCGTTAAAACATGATTTTGAAATAAAGAACGGTCATGAAAATTGAAAGCTGTTTTTTAATTTGTCAGTTTGTCAGTAAATCCAACACTGCTGTCATCAAATACAAAACATGGTCAAATTAGAACAAACACGTTGTCATTATATTGTGGTTTTGACATAAAATCCAGGGTTTTCCCTGATTTACATAAGATTTTGTATTTTCTTACTTCAACGGACATTTCTGCTTTTATGAAAGATTTTGACTCTTTAGATCATTGCATTATCATTGCAGCTCAGTAAAACTTGTGCAATTTAACAATTTTYCTCATATCCTGTAAAAAAAGTAAAAAAGAACAAAGACTTCCTTGATTAGTTACATCAGACTATAGTTTTGTCATAATTTTGTCATTGTGCTCATGTTTAGTTTCAGCTCAGGATGTGTCACTGATTCACGTACAAGCTGAATAGAAACTTTACTGAATGTCATTTAACCAGGAAATGTGGAAACACAGACTTATTTACTTTGAACATCTGTTGTTATCGACTCACCTGTCTCTTTTGTAGCCTTCTAAACCTGAATAAACAGAAGATAACACTATCACACTGAACAAACTGAAGGAAACTAGAGCCTGTTTTGTGTTTTAGTGACTTTGTGAGAGAAAAACAGTGAATATTACCTTTTAGTTTACTTCTTGTTCTCACCAACAGTGAATAAGATTATTTTATTTTTTTTTTATTTTTAAGTAAGAGAAGGGCTTCTACAGAAAGTAGTGTTATAAACATAGAGGCAGTGACGTAATTCCAGCTGTTTTTGTGTTGTATTTTTTATTATTTCCAAAAAACTAAAATGTTTCTGTACACAAAATAGCTCTATTTTACAAATTATTTTTTTTTTGGTAAATGCATAATGACTTTTTATAATATTCAAGGATGACAAATAAAGTATTTTTCATTTTGTATTATCATCTTCATCTCATCTTGTCATCCTTCAATAAAAAATGATCTGTAACCTCATATGTTCAAAGGTTTTCWACAGTGCAACTCCACATTATTGCAATAACATGGATAAAATACTAAGTTTTGTCACTGTGAACAGTTTAAATAGCTGTTTTAAGCTCATTTTAATGTTTAGTTTGAAGTTATAAAGATTCTAATAATGTATTGACTTCACTAAAAATCTTCCATAATTACTTGTCTAATTAAATTTCTAAGTATCTTCTATTGTGGATTCAATACTTTGTTTTGTGCACTGTAGGTCACTTACAGAATTATATACATTTAAAAATATTGCAAAACCATTTAGTAGAGATAAACATTTTTAAGGGTAAAAGTATTTTTCACATTTTTTAAAACACTTTGGCTCTATCTTTTTGTTGGGTGAATATCGTTTTTTGTCACACGGTGACGCTGTTTTACCAAAATAAATGGAAATAACCATGAACAGTCATGTTTGGTGCAGTATACAGTAAAGATCCTGCTTTTAGCTGATAACATGAATAAAAAAATAAAGGTAGATAAAAGCACAAGACTGTCAATAAGCCATATTAAACTATGACAATAAAATTGTTCAGAAACCACATGTGTGTTTTCTACCTCCACTTCACTTCCAAGAAGAAAAAAAGATGWCTGTTTCCTTCTGGGAAATATGATTCTTCTAATTTAAGCATTTGATAAATTATGTAAACAGTCACATAATAAAGTTACTCAGCATCAGCTGCTCCTCCTCCTCTGATTTATTCTCATGCTATCTGCAAGGGCTGCAGCACACTTAATAATTTAATGTAATTTTTTATTCGGGTGTAAATTACATGTRTTCAGTCATAACATCATGACTTGTTAAAACTGTGCATCTCTATACGAGCTAACACAGCTCTGATCATAGACAAACAACATGTGAGGAGTCCTAAAGTCACCAGGATGTCAGGAATAAACCATCTGAGCCTGAGGTCTTTATGACTGAGCTTGTTTCTAACAAAAAGCATTAGGCTTTAGGCTCTGGGGACCCCACAGTGGTTTGTTATGTTCTTTGAGTTTTCCTGAGCAGCTTCTCTGTGACCCACTGCTCACTGCTATGAGAAAAGATTACCATTAGGGGGCGCCATTGATCCCATGACGTGTTTATAGGAGTGGCAAGTGTCAGTTTAACATCAGTGTAAACACCAGCATGTATTTCCCCCCCCCCCCCACACCCCCAGCTGGACACTGTTACACAACATGATGAGTGATATTATCAGCTTTACCTGTCAGGTGTTTTAATAATGTGCCTGATGAGTTTGTTTATATTTTTGAGGCACACAAATATATTTTGTTTTGGTCTTTTATCATTTATTTCAGCTCCAACATTCTTCAGCGACAAGTAATGCTCTATATCTGATCTGTCTGTTTATTTTTATTAAAGCACGCATATAGGTTCAAGTTCTTCACTAAACACCAAGTTTTGAAAACTTAGATTAAACTTAATTAGAAATGAGTGCATGGATGTTCTTGTTTTTGTTACTTTGATAGTTCATATATTTTATTTATTTAGGAGTCACTACGGCAGAAGTTTGGGATGCACACATTCGGACAGTTATGAAATCATGTTTCTATGACTCTTCCTCTGTTCGCCTGACAGAGAAAAWTTTGGGAGCTAAATTTCATCGCCTTTAATGTTAGTGCTGAAGTCTGCAAACAGCACTTCTGTAATCTTGTGACTGTGTCTATTAACTAAATCCCAGTGGCAGAAAATTTGAATGAAAAAGAAATGATTTGAATAAAAAGGTAATGACATGGTGATACAGTGATTTGCTCTGTTCACACAGAACCTCAGCCTTCCTGTGTGGAACTTTGCATGTTTCTCTGCAGGTGTTCTGACTTCTTCCCTCAGGCCAAACAACCTGACTGCTGCTTAAACTGATGSTTCTAAATTAGCCACATCAGTCAGACAGGATGACTGTTTGTGTCCACATGACTTGTAATGAAATGTCAACTTCTCCAAGGTATACCCTTCCTCTTGCCCAATGTCAGCTAAGTTAGGTTTCAAGTTTCTGCAGATAAAATGAGATGGATGAATGCATGAATGGAAGCTGACTTTCTGGACTTTTACACTTCTGATCACACAAAACGTTATACAAACCATCAGAATGCCCATCCCCCCATACATTGTATTTACATAACACAAGCACCGACAACATTACACCACTGAAACTGAAATGCCATTCCCCATGGTGTTCACTAAGTGCTGTTATGAAACACAAAACTGTTTTTAACTCATTTTACGTGTAATGATAAAAAACTGAAACATTTCTGAGAGTCAGAAAAAAACTCACTTGAAATAGAGAAAACATCAAAATATTTCAGTGAATGTTGTATGTAATTAAAATATTAAAACACTGATCAGTTTCTGTGTAATCTTTTAAAAATGTAGAGGACTAAAAAAAAACCAGCAGGGACATATCATGCAAAATCAACTTTTTTAGTCCTTAAGTGCATTTTGTTTGTACTTGGAGTCTTTAGGAGTGCAGAAAATTTGAAATYAGTCTCCCCCGGYGTTGTATAMACAGTATGTTTGGGTCATATTTTTCAACYCACTTAGTTTTCTTTATTTTCTATGATGTTTTCTGAACTACATCACAGAATTTGTAACAGAACTGCTAAATAAGGTGAAGTGCCTCATTTGGTTTTAAAGAGACAGCGTCAAAATGAGTTGCTCTGAGACACACTTCAGAAAAGGGGTGAAAGAGGGGTTTGTGGAGTTACAATAAGGATRAAAATAAAGGATTGAAAACCATGATTTGTCTACTTTAATTCTAAACAGTTCTCAAATTTTTGTACCAGTATTTGTGTATTTGTTTATTCAAAAGGATCCCCATTAATCTACTACAGTAGAGAATCTAGTTTTTGTGGCTCATTATAAGAGCGAAGACTGCAGTTTTTGTAGCGAGGCTTTCAACAGTAAATGCATGAATCCATTGCATCATAGACCCCACATTTCAACCAGGGTTATGACTGGGAATTTGATCAGTTTGTTCATTTACAGTATGTCACATATCAGTTCTATCTACGTTAAACAATTAATAAACAAAATACTATCACTCACTATTATGTAAGGTGTTACATAGTGTAAAAAGTTCTAGAATCACTGGCGTCATGAATGTATAGCTGCTGCAGGTGTGGTTGTACTCAGTTTGAATGTAAACATGTAGAAAATATTTGCACTAATGATAAGAAACATTTGTATTTGATATATGAGGTTATGAAAGTCTCATATATCAGATATGTTCACTAAAACCTTAACRGTATAGGTGGAGAGAGGAAAAATATTCTAATATATACTCATAAATTGTTATCATATGMGTAAAAAGCTTGGCATATGGATAAAAAAGACATTAATATGCAGAAAACAGCAAAGTTTTTTTCCCAAACAAAGTAATTAAAAGGCATAGTTAACAGTCTACATGATCCCTGACTCCACTTTATGGCCCACATACCTTCTGTCATCATTTRTCATTAAAAGAACTTCACCCAGAGAAACAAACAAAATGGTATCACCTTTTGTAAATTTGTCAAGACTTAACAGAAAAGACCCAGACCTAAACACCTGCWGATAAGATACAAGGTTTCTGCCTCATGCGGAGGGGCCTGACCCACAAAGGGCAGACATATCACAGTGGAAACAAGAAGAAGCTGGTCAGAACCCAGAAAATGGAGAAGAGCGACCAAGCTTTGACTCTTGTGCTTCTGGCTTTACTGGGAGGTACATCTGGATGAATTTCTGATCATGTTTCACTGGGTAAAACTAGAAATATGTGTTTTTAGACTGTAAATCAAAAAAATTTTCTGTCTGTAGGTTTTCTGGCCTCTGCTGTGGAAGTTCAGCCTTCCATCAACCCTGCAGTGGTCGGRGGCACAGTGATGTTCTCCTTGTCTCCACCCATGAGTTTGAAAAGTGGAAGCTGGGCACTGGGAGAGACTCTGATCCTCAACTGGGTTGGGGACCAGCAGGCGTTTTTTCCTGGTTACAGCGGCAGGGCTTCTGTGAACCTGACCACCGGAGCTCTCACACTGAGTTCTCTGAAGCTGACCGACTCTGGAGTCTACGTGGTGCAGAGCAACGACCCGGCTCTGAGTGCCAATGCTTCTATTACTGTCATAGGTGAGATCAATCAGAGATTTTTTTTTAAAGTTGGGAATACAAACTATAACTGTTTACTTATTATCAACCAATCGTTGCACTTTTTGGAAAAGATGTAAGCTGTCTAGWGACAAAGCTGCAGAACAAAAATAAATATTTCGTAACTTAAGTGAACCACTTTACCAGAACAAATAAAAAGAACTTAGTGATTTTACCCTGTGCTTATTACACCAACTGGTTTTGTTGTTTTGAAAAAAAAAAAAAMCTAAAAACTGTTTTCTCAGAGGGGTTGAAGGAAATCGTGCTGCGCCGCCTTGTGATATTCAGACCAATGACTCATAAAATGTTCGTACCAAGTAAACAGATTATGTTTAGGTTTTGCTGCTCTTCTGGTAATATGACAGTTTCCTCCGGCTATTTCTCCATCAACACTCACCTTTGTGTCAAGGTGTTCCTGATCCTTCAGATTCCCAGAACCTGGGCCCAGGAGCAAAACATAGAGGGAGATTTGTCTATGTTTCGATTCCAGCATAAACAAAAAAACCTTTCTCAATGAGACACATTCAATATCTTAGATATTGTGAGAAGATTCCGTGTGGTTTTCAGTTACATTTAGTTGAAACGATCTGGATGCCCTAAAAACATCAAAATGTAGAGGATTGTATTTGACAGAAGATCCTGTTTGTCATAAATCTTACTTAATAATAAGTTTTTAATACTTTAGCAGGGATTATTTTACAGATATGGAAGAAAACGTTTTTTTGAAGAGCAGAATATGAGTTTAATGGATTCACAAAGTTTTGTTATATTAATAACTTTTTTCAAATTCAGCTTGTATTAATAAAGCAAGACAGTCTTTTAGTTAGAAAATATGATTTATTTAGTTTTAAAGGGTTTAAAATGTTATAAGTTATTAGAGTACGATCATAAATACTGCTCTCAGTGAAGTAGGACTGAAAAACACTGAAACATTTACAACAGTATGAACATTTTCTTTATGTTCAGCACAACTATAGATCAAAATTAATTCCATTAAATAAGTTCAGCCAAAAAATAATTAAACAAACGTTTGTGTTGTTTTGTTCTTGTTGGGTTCGTTTCATTTTAAGCTGTTTTCTGAGTCATAGTTTCTGATGGTTTTGATGAAAAACATGTTTTTACCTAAACTCATCATGATCTTTGAACCAAACACTTCTTTTTATTTTAAATGCTAAAATATTAATGCCTTAATTCATTTTCAAATATAATGATTTTTCTTAAAACCCATGTGATTTAATCTTCTTCCATAACATGCCTCACTTCCTGGTCTTCAGAAACTGTTTCAAATGTGACGCTCAGCACAAATCAAACAGACCTGACTGAGTTCAACAGTTCAGCAGTCATGAGGTGCTCTGTCTCCTCGGGATCTCCTCTCTCTTTTCTCTGGATGAACGGCAGTTCTACGATTACAGCCGGCATCAGAGTCCAGGTGACGGATGGAAACGCCACTCTCATCGTCACCAACGTGACACGCTATGACTCAGGACCATTCAGCTGTCACGTGTTCAACCTCATCAGTAATGGGACCAGTAATCCAGTAAATTTCACCATCAGCTGTGAGTTAGGCACTTTTAATTTAACATAATATCTGCAAAGCTCTAAAGTGCAGTTTTGCCCACTTGCTTCTTTTTCTGTGATTCTCTCAGATGGTCCAGAAAACATGGCTCTGACAGTGAATGGGTTGAGCGGGACTTCCTTCCCAGTCGGATCCAATCTGACCATGCTGTGTTCAGTAAACTCCAGCCCTCCAGCTCAGCTTCAGTGGGCCTTCAGAGGAAACCTCATGAACACAACAGGAGCCATATTGCAGCTGTTCCTTGTCAGTCAAAACCAAAGTGGTCAATACTCCTGCCTGGCCTTTAACAACCGCACCAATATGCTCAACAGTATAACCAAAGACATTACAATATCAAGTAAGTTATTTTTGTTTATGCATAAATTTTTTTATTTTATCCACTTGTCACTTGCTTCATCCTCATGTTTTTATAGAGTCTGAGCAGCAGGTGATGAATGTGTTACTCCTTCTTCTGTCACTGACTGGATTCTTGTCATCTCTACCAGGTAAGTTATTAACAAAAAAGCTACTTTTTATTGTAAACCTTTCAGTAAAAGATCAAATAGTTTAACTTTTTTCTGTAGAGGAATCATAATTGTAATGGAAATAATACTATTTC